CCCACACCCGCCCCTCACCCACACTGCCTAACCCTGCCATGCCCGACAGTCTGAAGGCATTGTTGATAAATGGAAGCTGGGCAGAACCATCAACGACGGCCCGTGGAGGCCAGGGGAAGAACAGAGAAGAGCTGGAAGTGGCCACATCCGCACTCCTACACGAGACAGCAGGTGACTATAGGGGATCATCTCCTCCCAACAGGGAGCAGCTACGGCTCTACAGGATGGATCAACGACAGCTGGACTCCAACCATGAGGGCCTAGACTCTCAACCACTGCGGGCGGATAGTGAACGGCTAACATATTACCCCAGACACTCAAATCATAAGGAAGGGGCCTGGAAGCCTGCGAGGGTGGGGTAAACGATCAGGCGAACGGCAAGCAGAATGAAAAAAGCAGTGCTGAAGCAGTGCCCCGAGTGGGCGGGCCGCCCGACAGGGTCTCCCACGGTTGTTCCCCTGTGCAGCAGAACAGTAGACCAGTGGTTGAAGTGGCCTGTCCAGAGGCAGAACTATAATCATCAGTCATAAATACATGTACCTAAGGCTCATTGTACTCTTGTATTGGGACACTGGACCTGTTTTCCGGCAGGTGCAGCTCCCGACCAATTCCAGGAACTAACCATTATTTGTTGGCCCTTACATTTGTATCCCTCCCTTTTGCCTTTCTGCCACGCCGGGTCTCCCAGTCCATCCTTTATTACCCTACTGAGTTTGGCACACAAAGCCAATTCCGATCTGGGACTCCACCTCCCTTTATGTGCTTTCTGCGCCTACTCCCACTCCGGCCAGAAAGTCGCGTTGGGCGTGAGGTTTGTCCATCACACCAGGACAACAACAATGACAACAAGTAGGGGGCTGTACTTGGGTAGCTCAAGGGCTGCCAACTTGCCATTGGTCAGACCTTAGCCCAGGGCATCAACCACTGGTTGTGGTAGCTCAAAGAGAATATTCAGACATAGAGAGGAGAGAGGAACCAGGGTACATAATTCAGAGGGGCATTTAGGGTCTACTCGCAAGCTGTGAAATGTTCCCACCCGAAATACCCATACAATAGGGCTCATTTAAACAATGACAGGATTCAACTAAGGCTGAAGGGGATATCTTGTGATGTGCAAGCCTAATGGCCCATGCAACGTCCCGTGGGGAGAGCACCAATCAGAGCATGGAGTGTGGCCGAGGTTTCGGACAAAGGGGTGAAATCTCAGGGCAAAATTGGAATTTCCTGTGTCAGTCCAACAAAGGTTATCCTTGCAGAGAAAGGGAGAGCGGGTGAATGAAATTTGAAGGGGTCCGTTGTTCGAAATTATCTCCCGTGTGGGAGGACTGAAATGATAGCGTTCACAAATCGACAGAAAGAAATCAAAGGATTGTCGAAACCAAGGACAGGCAGGTGCGCTCTCTCTCTGGCATTCCAAAGGAAAATTAATCAGCTCAATGGAAACGAATCGTGGCGGATGGAGAGATCCTCTCGGTTAACCTGAAGAATCCTTGCTATCAGATGGCGGAGGGGGCGGTGGAAAGGCATGCAGAAATTTTCCAGAAAGGTGCCAGCCTCATGGCTTGTGCTTCGGAAACGAACCGCTCTCTGATATCTCAGCACCAACCGTAGCCACGAACACAAGTTACCCACTTTACACCATTGACAGTCAAATTGGGGGTTCCATGTGGCATCAGGTCGGAATACGGGAAAAAGATTTCAACTTGAGGCAAATGGAAACAGTCAATGAGTACTACAGACCCACTCCCACCGACATGACATGCCTTAGATGGTTTGTAGAAATGAACTCGATCAATTTGCAATTGCAACCTTTTTTTTATGTCTGCTGCGTTGCAGTAGATGGAGTCTTTGTCCACGACAGGGAACTCGAGAGGGCTACTATGGCAAATCAAGACGCGTTTTGAACACCGGCAGTTGCCCGCATTGAGACTCAGCCGGGAAAACCCGACTCCACATGCCGATCAGCAATCAAATCGGATACTCCGAGTATTCGAGCGCAAACCAGTCTTGCAAAAAGATTAAAGATGGGAGCAAAATCCGAGTAGAAATTGCAATCAGGACATTGTCAAGATGAAACCTCCTAAAAAAAAGAAAAAAGAAAAAAGAAAAAAAAAAAACATGAAACCTCCTACCAATTTTTTTTTCTTTTTCTTTTATTTTTTTTGCATGCAAGAGGCATTATAGCGTAACGACAAAACTATTTAACCGACATTCAATCCGAACACACACGTCCAACTTAGACGATCATGACCAGCTTCCGCTTCACAGTTTAGTCAATCACACATTTAACACTCACAGCCAAGACCATGCACAACACTCGATCCTCCAGCATGGACTTGGACACAAAACAAGCAGTGATGGGGAAAAGCTACAGTCTCCCACAACGTTATGTAAACTAAAAAAAAAAAAAGATGATCTTTGTCAGAGTCATGTGCTAGATCAGCCACCTAGGCTCAAAAGACGGCCGCACTCTCCACATCCATCATTCACTCCACCACTGCTCCGCCGTCCAGCCATAATCTACTGATCCTACCGCTACACTCACCCCACGCTGTCACAGTATTGCAGCTGAGATCAAAGAGGAGGAGAGGAAAGGGCTAATGCGGATTTATAGCGCAGATACGCCGTAGAAGGTGGTGGGTCGTGAGCGGAAAGCCGGGGATGAGGACGGAGTGGAGCTGGGCAAAAGGAAGCTTGCTGACCAGGATGAGCACTAGTTGGTGGGATGATGGAAAATTTCTCGCTCAAAAATTGGGTTGATCGTCTGGACCGTGCACGAAATTGTGCTCTTCAGGCTGATGGATCCGAGCAACTCAGGACACAGCCAATCATCCGTCATCTAGGATTGTGGAGGAAGACGAAGGGTTGCAAGAGAGTAGGAGGAGACGGAGAGGAGAAAGAAGAGAAGTTCGCGCACATGCACAGGCAGGATGCTGGTTTGTGTGAGGATCTGGCCCATTGCGAAACTGGCCTTTTGGCCTGGTTATTTTGGGAATCCCTTTGGTTCAACCCTTCAGTGTATATTGAGGGTGGTTTCAACTTCTGTGCCTTGGGTTGGGATGCCGTATTTGTACAATAGGGTTGCGGGTAGATCTATGGTTGGTTTTGGCACAGGTATTTTGAGTAGAGGGCCTGTGCTGGGCAGGACACTGGGTGGGAAGGACTTCTTTCAGCACGAAAGTCGGTTTAATGTTTCTGTTCGTCCGTGTTTCGCAAGGCATCAGCGAATTGAATACGGTTGTGGGTTTGCAGGTAATATTTACTCGGCGTTTTGGCACAGGTATTTTGAGTAGAGGGCCTGTGCTGGGCAGGACACTGGG